TAAAGTTATTTAAATATTTTTAAAAAAAAAAGGCATCCCGTTTGTGAGTGAAATAAATTCACTCATTTAGTTAATTAAATTCGCGCGTATTTAAGCAATTAGTAACAAATGAATTTCATAATAACAACTATATTTTTTTGAAGCATATTATTTTTAACAAATTAATATTGATTTTTTGTGTATTTTATCACAATTATCTAATCAAAAATTCAGTTCAAATGACGAAATAGTAAAATAAAACTCGTAGAAGACAAAAAGAAAATAAATATTTATTATTGTTAAACAAAACTTATAATTCTAAGAAATATATTAGCGCTATATACAACTATTTACAGAATTAATTAAGTAGGGTGTAATTTCTCACAATAAATTTTAACAAAAACATCGTATTCTTAGAAACCTTAGGAATAAAATCAGAAGTAAATTTTATTATGAATTACATAGCTATAAAATAATTTTTGCAAACAAATCACATCTTCTACAATATATATATAATTTAATTGGTAACTTAAAACTTGTCCAGTCTTCAAACAAAAAGAGGTAGAAAAGTTAAACATTTTCGAAAGATATAATAAATATCTTTGGTGAGTACAAGGTAACTTACTAAACGACGAAAATAAATAATACTTCATGAGATGTTGTTGTTGTTGTGACGTTTATCGTCTCATAATTTCGTCAATTGTAAAGCCACGTGGTTTCCTGGTCGTGCTCGTGACTTCCGTACCTTCAAAGCATTTTGACTTTTCTGTTTCCTCTTTATGGTTTTCTTCAACGTCCAGTACCTTCACTTCCTCATCTTCGCTAACAACATCGTCGTTTTCATCATCGTCGGTTTTTTTTGACGTCGTTAGATCCAGGCACGACGTACTGTCAACTTGAACTTCTTGAACTGCAATGGGAATGAAAGAAGAAATGGAATTGTCATTTCCACCACTACCACCACCACCAACAGTAGCAGTAATGAAGGGATTGTCCTCGCTAGATTTAGAATTGTGTTGGTGATGCTCTTGGACCTGATGACTATGGAGATCGTGGAAAGTGGCGAACAATTTGGAACACAAGCTGCACTCCAATGGACGTTCTGTATGGGTCAGGAGGTGGGTCTTCAAATTGGAACGTTGATTAAAAGGCCTACTGCAAACCGGGCATTTATGAGGTGATTCTTCCATGTGTAGAATCTTATGTACAGCCAGGGTGCGCGATTGGCAGAATCCTTTGCCGCATTCGTTACATTTGAAGGGTTTCTCCTTACTGTGGATATACCTGAAAGATGAATCAATTAAATGAAGAAAGAGGAAGATAACAGCAGTGAAATATACGACGTACCTGTGATCCCTAAGGTGATCCTGTCTTCGAAACGCCTTCCCGCAAATATCACAGGAATAAGGCCTTTCGTCTGTATGAGTCCTTTCGTGTATGAGTAAATTGTAACTTTTGGTGAACTGACGACTGCAGAATTTACAAATGAATTGTTTCTTCGGTCTCGAAGATCCAGGACCCATCTTCATTGGTATGGGCGGCCTCCCCACCGGTGCCCTGAGATCATGGAGTTGAGTCCTGACATGATAAAACGCTGCACTTCTGAGCCACTGATTCATCAGAACTGCATTATAAGTTGGATATTGCAGAGAAGGATGTGTTGGAGTGTACGGGTGAAATCTGGGTCCTTCCAGAGCGACTAAGTCCGTTCGCTGATGATGACGGTACCATGTTGGATCGCAAGGATAACGAGCTCCTGGGGGTGGAGAAGAAGGATATGTTGGGGTATGCGGAGGTGTTAAGAGAGTGTCAGAAGATTCTTGTTTGATTTCCGTAATTTTTGGTGGAAAACTTTGAGGAAATCCTGAAAAATCAAAGATCCAAAATGAGGATCCCCATCGAGTAAAACCAACCAAAAGGAATATTTCTAGATCTAATTAAGGTCAATTACTTATCAAAAAGTTTAAAGACAAATTAATAAGATCTAACAGTACGGAGATAATACCTAAAGGTTATCTATCGCAAATACTGGAAAATAACCAGATGCTTGTTCCGCAAAAACTTTTAGAGAAAAACAGCTATGGGTAGTGCCTAAGGCTCTCATAGGCTTCCTATCTAGCTACTTGTCCTATTACAATTGGTTGGAATATTTTCCTTTTGGGTTTATAAAATTCTGAATCTTTTCTACATCGGGAAATTATAAAAAAATTCCGATGCTTACCTTGATTCACTTTCATAATCCCTATGGTGCTCACATATTCACTTAAATTGGCCATGCTACACAAACAGACAAGTTAGAGCCTACGTATTATCACTCAGAGACAACACTAGCACAACAAAAACAAGTACAGTCACTTGAACAAGTAGAATATTAGAACAAATCTCGTCGTTGACAGTCAACTATCAACAACAGCTTGCTTTGATAAACTGGCCTGCTACTCTGGGCTACTAGAATCAGGGTAGTCTTGGTGGTGGGGGTNAAATCATCAAAAAAATTTTTAAAAAGGCGGAAAGGAAAGGAAAATCTTCAGTTTTATGCGACGAAAGTTGAGTACACTGGCTATCGTATGCTTGAAGATTTCTACAATTGAATTGATATAAATGCCCTCTCGTAGGTGTCCAGCAACTTCAGACAGTATTGTACATTATAGATTATTTAAGTTGTTGTTTTGATTCGTACATTCAACAAAAAACGAAATGCCATAAAATACGAGTGCTGCTACCCTTGGATAACGATTATAGAAGTTTTATAAAGTCGATTCATTTGTTTCCCTTTGACCTTCCCCGTGTCTCGTTGAGGCGATGTTGTTGTATACAGCAGAAAAAAAAATTGCAAAACAAAAGAATTTGCGCAGTTGGTCACGACCGATTCGTTATAATGTTCGCAATTATGGTCTTAAAAGTCTGGGAAAGCCCAAACAGATTAAATCTGAGAGCGCGTCTCACTCCACCCACACAAACGGTGAAATTAACGGGTACAGTCAGTAGATGGCGCCTGCAGCCAAGCCACAGGACGCCGCCCCTCGAACTGCTCGCAGGAACGCCTATGGAGACATTTAAGTATAGACTGCGGACCGATTTCAAAGAAACCGAATTATTAGATGAACCCAATGTGATGGTATCGTAGAAGTTTTTTGGGTAGGTCTGGTGCAGTGGTCTTTTGTCTGACAGTACAGTCTTTTATATAGGGTGTAACGGAATTAAGTGCGATGTGTAAATTAGGTGCAATAAACAATCGCATGATGAGTTCAGCAGCGTGGTCAAGGGTAAAAAAATTTAAGACATAAAATCTGATGCCGGTCCTGTGCGTGAACGGGCAAGCAAGTGTCTCCGAGTAGTGCACACCAATAGAAACTCTGCAGATACATAGACTAAATATATTAAATAGTCGGTAAAGAGCACCTAGATAATCATAATTTTATTAATTTCCACACCAACATTGAGGTATTGTCAAGACGCGTTACTTTTGTAGTAACTAGTTGTTCGTAAAATAACCAAAAAAGTCAACTAGGTCTCCAAACAGTTTGCATCACATATTTAACAAAAACAGTTCTTAAAATCGCAGAGGATACACCTACGATATGCGAATTTGCGAAGCACCATTAATGATTATTGAAAATTCAAAATTTTGTTCCGCGTGAAGTAAATTTGTCTGAGAACAACACCCTATTAGGCTAATATGCAGGCACTTTTATTTCAAAACCACCGACACCAATCCATTAACGACCGAAAATTTGTTTCAAGCAAGGTTTGCACTCGCTGCAAATGATAAGGATGCAGCAACGATTCCTTAAAAATTTGCCACACTGTCCCTGCTGTTTCGCGTCTACTATTTGATAGTGCCCTACTAACTCCTAAAAGTTCCGCACTTATTTCTGTTACACCCTGTATATCACTTTTCTTGTAATTCCTTGGTAACATTATCGCATTTCTGGAAAACAAGAGGATGGCATTTAGACCCGAGCGAAAGGGGATATTTAAGTTTAAGCGGAATGCTCTCCGGATTGTTGCTCAGGATAAAAAGGGAGGTGTTGCAACTTTTGTTGATTGCTGGGCATTCAAGAAGGATTAGTCCAAATTGGTACTTTCTTTAATGACTTTTTTAAATTATAACTTTTACATTACTCGCCTAGACACAGATACATCCAAACCGTTCATTTTCTCTATTCCTCATACATCATCAGTCATTCCAGGTTAATCACATCTTCATCTGAACCTTGATGCAACAAACTGATATCAGAGATCTTTTTCGTTTTACTAGTTACAGTGCAAAATCACTTTGTCATAGTGAAATTATCTTTCATTAGACTTCAGTCACTGTCCAAAATAGTAAACGATTGAGAGCGACAGGCTTTAACTTTAGACCTGCATTTAAGAATGGATTATTCAATTAGCTACCTTAAGAATGATGAAATACTGTACGAATTCGATAAGGTTCCATTCCATCTGTTTGATAACAAGTTAGATCGGTTTAATAAAATTACTTTTGATAAGAATTTTCCTCATTAGTTTCTCCAGTGTTAGTTTACTAAACTTTACTGATGGTATATTAATTTGAAATACTTTTTTCGATTTTTTATTTACCCACTACAAACTACCTCAAATTAATGAGGGAAAAATTGTGGCTGTTGTCACACCCACCCTCGCCGGGAATCGAACTCGGGACCTTTGCTGTTGTCACCTCTCGTAGTTTAGTGGTAGAACATTGGTGCGTAAAGCCAAAGGTCCCGGGTTCGATTCCCGGCGGGGGTGGGTGTGACAACAGCCACAATTTTTCCCTCATTAATTTGAGGTAGTTTGTAGTGGGTAAATAAAAAATCGAAAAAATTATTTTAAATTAATACTGCATATTAATCCACTATTAAGTAACTAACAATGTCATAGGATTTTCATACATTTACTGATGGTGTTACAAGAATGTCCATTTTCCCTTTCATAATTATTGTTCGACTAGAATTTAAAGTGAGCATGCATGCCTCATATAACATGTGGGTCTCTTGTAGCAAAAGACGTGCATGAAACCGCAGGGATTTCCCCGTAGATCCATCAGTTACATTAGAAGGAAAAGAAACTGTTGATGCAGTTACAAAAATATCCATGTTCCCTTTCATAATTGTCTTCTTCCTTCTCTGAGACTACCCCAATAGAATTTATTGGGGGCATGCATGTCTCATGTAGCATGTTGGCTGCATATGTGACCAATGACGAGCATGCCGATAGGGGAATATTCCCGTAGATTTTTCAGTTATTAGGATAAAAAAAAATTTTTTACCACTACGATTACAAGAATATCATATTTTCCTTTGCATAATTATCTGTTTCCTTCTCTGAGACTACCCGTCTAGAATTTATTGGGGACATGTATGTCTCATGTAGCATGAGGGAGCCGTTAGAGGGATTTCCCAGTCGATTCTTTAGTTGTTAGAACGAAAAGAAGCTTTACAATATCCATTTCCCCATTCATAATTATCTTCTTCCTTCTCTGAGACTACCCGACTAGAATTTATTTGGGGGAGGGGTATGCATGTCTCATATAGTTTGTGATCTTCATGCGACAAATGACAGGCATACCACAAGAGGAATTTCGCCTCAAAATTATCATAAAACCCCACAGAAGAAAAGTAGAGAGCAAAACTAATACACATATTTAACATTCTATCCCATCATCTGCCTGGTATAATCCGATTTATTTTCCCTAATTCTTTATTAAAGTGGCAAGTGCCTTTTGGGCGCCCTATAGGGTAGCCTTATGGGGTCCACATGAGGCAGTGCAGCTAACCTAGCTAGGACCCTAGATGCCCCACTCACAAAACTCCTGTAGGATATCAAAACGAAATATGATAAAATTTTCACAAGACGCTAGTGGCTATAACTGAGGGTAGCTATAGACAGCTATACTTTGGTAGTTTGCTATTACCTGTTGTGAAGCCAAACGAGTCCTTAGAAAATCCTTTTGGACCTGTAGAGCAATCCACGGTCTTCTCGGAGCACCAACCATTTCCACCAAAAACTGCAGTAGATATTTAATCATATTTTTTTAATACCTCCTAATCTGTTATTATATTTGTTTTGTTTTGTTGTATATCAAATACACTCCGTGGAAACGATTTTATTAATTATCAGCACCCATATAATTTGTTTCATATGTTTTTTTCGTCCGCATAGGTAAAGCACGAACGCGGTTATATATTATTTTTAATCTTACCAAAGTAGGCACGGGCAAGAGCGTGACGGTTGGTTTCGTTGTTGCTGCGTGGCAGTAAGTTTCTAGCGATGTCGGATCTGTAATTTCGGCGCTTCCTATCTATCACCATTGACAGGGGGCAAATCAAGAGCGGCCAGAAATAATCGCGGTCCCGACTACAATTTCCCACGTAATAATTACCAACAATTACAGAAAACGCAATAATAGGACCATTAAACAATTAAATGCAATCAGAACCCGATAATACGGCAGAATCCTCTTTGAAACTGTCAGACGGATTGATAGATATCTCCGGATCGGGGATGATCATGACGACCGCGTATAAAGCGGAGTGTGTCCGTCATGGACGAGTAGATCACGACCCCAAGCCATTGTTGTCGCTTCTATCAAAATATTCTAGACATTGCATATTATTTTCATAATCACTTTTCTTGCGATTTCCATGCAGTAGATCACAGAAGAGAAATAGATAATTGAGGAAACGTGTGCATGAAGTACCCATTAGGCCTAATTAACTATTTTGTCGAAGGAAAATACCACGAATGGCGCGGTAAACGCCATCTGTAGTACGATGCTACATTTTAGGATTACGTACGCTCCAACAAGGTCCATTTAAATATATGGATATCTACTTGTTGAAAGGAATCCAGGCGTAGCCAGATTGGCAGTTTTGACAGAATACACATCACTTCGAATTATTTTATTGGATTATGGTAACGTGCTTATCACGTTGAGGTTAGCTACGCCGGGATTCGTTTCAGCAAGTAGATATCCATATATTTAAATGGACCTTGTTGGAGCATACGTAATCCTAAAATGTAGCATCGTACTACAGATGGCGTTTACAGCGCCATTTGTGGTACTTTCTAAAACGCGCTGTTAATACAGCAGGTAAAAGTTGGTCTGAGCTATCTGCGACGCGCTGATGAGATCCAAAAAGATCGAAATCGCGATCCGCGTCTGGCAGTTTCGACAGAATCAGACCACTTCGAACTATTTTATTCAACTATTTTGTCATTTACCATCCCTTGAGCTAAAATTATTGTGATATCCCAATTCAAAATTGCCTTTCGAACGAATGGAGTAGACAATTCAAATGCACCAAGATGTATTTTAGTTCATTTGCATCAATTCCTTGTTCAGATCATTGCTGTGTGTTTTTGACGTCATAATTATGATACCGATGAATGTAGTAAGCGATAATTATTACCATCTAGTAACCAATATTCTGTT